ACAGCGATTTCAGTATGTATAAAACTATAAACAATGATACGATAATACCTAATTTCGCTAATATGGATAAAACTATAAACAATGATACGATAATACCTAACTTCGCTAATATATATAAAACTATAAACAATGATACGATAATACCTAACTTCGCTAATATATATAAAACTATAAACAATGATACGATAATACCTAATTAAAGAGCTTTATTTACATAACCATCTACAAATTTTCAAAACTAAACCACGATGTAGCTGCAAAAATAGATATTAATAAAGTTATTAGTCGATTTTATATAAAAAAGGGGGGGTGCGTTGAATAAAATCAGCAAAAAATATTTACCACTCATTACAGCTTGAGAAAAAAGTCCACCACCCCTCACGAAATGTTGAGTATGCCCCAAAGCTAATGGTCTCATCGAAATAACACCCCCTTCCTTCCCCAGATCCGCGACACAGCAATACAAGAATCACTGCGCCAATTTACCATTAAGGCTTTAACTTTCTTCTGCAGCGTTAACTCAACAAATTATAATAATGGCCAGAAGCCTAAATAATACTAACTGTGGCTAGGTTCCAAATTATTACAAGATACTACCTACAGCAATTTGGAACTATTACAGTATAGTCGTGAAGATTTTGTAAGGTATTACTTGCTCGACCTGACTGTCACACACACAAAGACAGCAATCGATTTGTTTGGTTGGTTGGAACTATTACTAATATAGCTTTTATACATCACATTTTTCCATTCATTCATCCAACTATTTATGTATCCATCATTTGTCTGTCTGACTATCCCCCCCCTTTTTTTTGTCTAATAACAAGAAAAATTGTAATGCATGAAAATTAAAGTTATTATATGTAACGTTTATCGGGAAAAAAAAGTACTATGATAAGTTTTATTGAGAATATTTCCTATTACATGTTCGTGGACGTAATCTCACGTGCTTTTTTATCATTTGTAACAATACCTCTAACATTAATTTATAGTTCCGCATAAATCATGATTTATTAATGTCACGTTAGTTCTTTTGCACATCACCTTCAGAACGTTGTTCCGAAAAACAACAACTAAATAACAAAATATTCTTTTTTTTTTTGTTAGCCAATCGCCCATTTGTTGGCTATTGATAAAACAGTCTAGTAGCAAGAAGAAACCATCTCTACAGGGGTGAATTAACAGGTGCAATAAACGTCCATATCAGTTAAATTGATTTTAAGGGTTGTGTATTATATAAGATAAATTAATTATGATTACACAATAATAATCTATATATATACATTCGTTTTACGGTAAAAGTAAACCTGTTTCACCAGCTAAACAAATTTGAAAACGTGCCAAAACAAACACAGTATCAAGATCGGTAAATAGTAACAGGTCATACGTGTTACTTGAGAAGTAGAGGCTTCATTTGCATCGCCCTTTTACGACAAGCTGAAGCTGACAAAGTTATATACATATGTATATGAAAAGCAAAATAAAGAATAACAACAAGGTGACAAATAAATCGACATCTTTTTTTTCTTACTTTTTTATTATTTTAGAGAAAGAAACGCATGAACTAGAGATAGTTAAGACAAAAAAAAAGGTTTAAGCTTTTTACACCTTAATTCATGAGATACAGTTTCTGTTCGCATCTCAAACTGCACAGAAGGTTACAAACGATGCAATTTTCATGTTGAGTTTTAACCGAGTTTCACTGGAGGTTACAACTCTTAATAAAAGTTTAAAACTGAAACGTGGATTCTTTTTCCCCTCCATTTATTTACAGAACACTAAAATAAGATTTTGAATTTCGACACCAAACAAAAACAAATAAAAAAAGCTGAAAAAAAATGTATGTCAGACTAGCTACTTTAAAGCACGTGCTTCTATAAACATCATCTGTAGCAACCAAAGAAAATATACTAGAAACAGATAAAAGTTTTATAAGGACTTGTTTAAAGTAAGTTGTTGTTGTTGTTTGGTTTGTCCTGATTAAAATCATGAAAAGCTATTTAACGACAACGAATACAGCTACTGAAATAACTATCCGGCAAAAATAAAGGCATTATTTAGTTCGAAAAAAAAAATTTCTTTTCAGCTGGAAAAATACTTAGAACTTGGATGATCAGTTTGTAACCGCAGTACATTAATCTCCACCAGATAATCAGATACCTTTATTTAATATTTTACTGTGTAAATCACCGTTTTTAATATTAGATATTGTACTGGTTCCCTAAACGACTGCTAAGTACATTGGCGAACAATCTAAGTGGCTCTAAAGAAAAGATTAAACAGCCCTATAACATTATTCGCTAAGTTGTTCAATATTTAAGAATCACTGTTTTGTTTTTTATGACTTGCATTCAAATCCTAAAGAAAGAAATGGATTTTGAAGTGCTCTTCACCAAAACACTTAATCGTAAATGCTTTAATTATTGCGAAAGTTTCAACTTTTGTTTGTTCAGTGTGTGGGGTTGGTGGGTGCAGCGTTTAGTGGCTTTACGTAGTTCGTTTTAACACTATTTAATTTTTAAAAGATGAAGAATAACGTACAATCGTAACAGATGTGATATATATGTCTCTCTGTAAACAAACTAGCGTGTCTTAAGCTCGCAAAAGCAACTCATTAATACAATAAAATTACCAGAAAGATACAAGCATTCTTAACCAAAGAGAAAAGAGCTTTCTCTCTCTTGAAAAAAATATTAACTTATAAATGTTTATTAAATCTGAAATACTTCTTGAAATAAATATTTTTAAGTCTGTGTTATTTTTATGAGACAGCAGCCTACACGAGCATAACGAATTCGGTTCAAGTGACCGATTAGGCTAGTTTAATACTAGTTTACTAGCTGTGATCTGCAAAACATTCGCTGTAGTTTGTATGCTCTTAGCTTGAATTTTCTTTATTCTATCATTTTCACGCATGCCATTTAAGCTACGCTTTTTTGCAGGCATTGTGTGTTAGATCGATAATTCCTGGTCTATTTGAAAAAAAAAAAAAAATTACGCGGTCATACTAACATGCTCACGTAGACGTAACTTTATTTCATAAAACTACACGTAAGGTAAACAATAAAGTATAGTAATGGTATTTATAATAGTGTACAGAGTATGAAACAGTTATGAGCGTTCAGAGTATGACACAGTTTTACGAGTTGAAAAAAAGAAACTCATAAAAACGATGAATAAAACCCGTAATAAAAAAAAAGTAGCTAAAACGTGTTTATAGCAGTCTATGAAACGAACTGAAACTAAGTTATTGCAAAGTAAAGTAAATATAAGTTGTAATAAAAGCAAACTTAGCTGAATATGCAGAAACGTCTAAATGCGTGTTCACAAAGCGATAAGTATGTGGTTTTAAACGAACTGCGCATGAGTATTTTAAACTTAAATAAATCGAGAAGACCCATAGAAATTGTATTTAGTGTAATTTTTATATTTTTGGAGGTTGCACGTGAGTTAATTGTTGTTCGTGCGAAATACTTTGCAAACAAAAACACTAAAGTTGAAATCGAAGTCAGTCGTCATGTGATGATAACGACATTGTGGCATCGTGTACCATACGCGTTGCATTGAAAAGTTTAATAAATAAACTTAGTATTCCGAGAATTGTTTAATCTCAAAATCTAAGTTCAATGGAGGTCCAGTTCAATCTACACTGGACCTCTCTTGAACTTATACTTCGGAATTAGACAATTTTCGGAATACTAAATTTATTTATTATACTTACTATTGTGCGGCTATACAATGTGAAAAACTGAATAGTAGCCAATGACACTTTTTCTTCACTTCGCCTATCTAGTGTATAGGTTTTTCTCATAGTGACTACAAAGCACGTTCACACCAACAATATGATTGAAAAGTTTGACTAAACAATAAACAGGTAAGGTGATTCTGAATTGAAAAGCCAATATGCAATCCGAACTCCTCGAGCAACGGCCTTTCTAACGATATGAGATTTGTAGCGTTTCGTCGAGAAATGTGCGAGAAAAGTTCCGGACAGACAAGCGCAAGTGTATTATTTATATAGATGGTCTATGGGCTTAACTTATAATTCATTAATCTTTAACAGTGAAAATGCATATGGACTATACGTAATTTGTTGTAGGAAAAACAACAACACTTGATTTGGTCCTTGAAGTTATAAGTTTTGCTGTTTTTGTTTGCTCTATTGTTCAATTTATTTTTAAGAAATGGTGTTATGAAATGCGCATCAATTCAGTTTATTTCAACTTCATCTTTCGTTCAATTCAAACTTTTCAAATTCAACCAGTAGACTTGATACAAACACCCATATACAGAACTTATATCAAATTGAAATAAAGAGAACACACACCTTTATCTTATCAATATACAAGCCTCAAATATTACTGACTACGAAATGATTGATACAGAATTAGTAAAACTCTCTCTTCAACGAAGCTCAAAATATCATACAAACTTACACGGGCAGAAAAGTGTATGAAACTTTGTATACTTTAAGAAAAGACCTAAAACACATGTTTGTTTAACATATAAAAAGATATATTTAAATGTGTCTGAACGTTATGAAGCAATTCAGTGTATTAACATATATAAAGTCAATACGGACAGACATAAATTATGATAACATCTGTGTAAAGAGAGAAAATAGGGCAAAATAATCGCCTGAAACAAACATGATACGACTTTCTTGTTCTGTTACATATACTAGGACAAGATAAACTAATGTTTTGATCTTATCAACATTGCTATAGAACCGAAAACATCATTAATATAAAGATAGCCCCCAACTAATCATTCGCTGTATTCTGCTTGTATATTTTGTGATGTATCTCATTATGATATTAAGTATATACTTTTAGTCATTTTGTTATATTGCATTGACTTCAATTACTAACAAGTTACTTGTTAGTCCTGATATGTTAGCGGAAAGTTTACGGACTTATAAATCTAAAACCCTTGGTTCGATCCTCCCCGGTGGACAAGGCGTAAATGACATATTGTGTAGCTTTGCTGTAAGGCAAGAAAAAACGATCGATATTGATATACTCAGATTACTTTTGGTCAGAAGTTACTAATAATTTAGTGACTTCACATACAGGCTTCATACGTCCCCACACTGAGTTTCATTCAGCTTTCTTAATCTTATGGTACTGTTGCGTCAGCGAGTCACATGACCACTGTGGCACCCTCTAGTTTCTAGAACTATCTTGTTCTTTCAGGAATGCTCAAGTAATTGCTAGATATAGGGTAGGCTGGTATATAAAAGAAGGCAATGTAATGTGTGTGTAGATAGTGAGTAATTGAACTGCAGTCACACGGTATTGTTGAAGTTAACGTTCGTTCGTTACAGTGTTGTTTTAGCGCGAGTATTGAGATTAAGTGTATCGCAGAGTTATATTTGGAAAGAATAAACCAGTTTTATCAACTAACAAACGGAGACGTAACAGTACTAATACATTA